GGATTATCTATAGAACATACATGTATTTACTCGCAGATATTTACTTACACTTGTGTCAGTATTATATATTACAGGTGATCTGAGAGGGAAATGGTTGTGCAATGCACACAACCCTAAAGATGAGAACTGGCCGTCTCCAGTGGTTTTCTGTTGGATAGCACTGAAGCTGCACAATGCAGAAAAGGTCTCTGCCAGCTGCTGAATGGAGGAGCAATGCTTCTCTAGGGAGAGGAGAGGAGAGGAGAGGAGAGGAGAGGAGAGGAGAGGAGAGGAGAGGTAAATGAAGGAAAGAGGGAATATGAGCCCCAGAGCCATTAGTCTTTGTCATCACCCCTCCCCCACCCTGTCCTCCTCCTCTCTTCTCCCTTTTCTGTCTCTCTCTCCATTATGTCTTGTTTTTCCCTCCATCGCCATCTCTCTCTCTGTCCCTGTGTATTTCTCTTGCTGTTAATCTAATGCTGCATTGAGGCGATGTGTGTTGACAGAGAGATGCTGATTACATGCAACTTCAAATCTGGTGATTTTGAAGTGTGTTACTATGTCACTCTTGGGGAGTTTGACATCCAAAGAAAGAGGCAGCAGAGATGGAAGTGTGTGATTGTTTAATGGAATTATGGAAGCCTAGTGCATAACCAGCTGACTTTGACATGTTAAAAATGTTCTCATATGTGAAACCCTGGAAAAGAGATCCAGATATCAGACAGAAAAAACAAAGAAAATGAGTCTTAAAAAATTGAGACATAAAGTGAAGGAGGAGAGAACATTTCTTGACAGATGGAGGCACAGACAAACAAATCATGCAGAGCAGAAAGAGTTTTATTCCTTATCTTTATGAATGCAGACTCTCTTTTTGAGCTGTTTCCATATAAAACAAATGGAAAAATTCATTAAAGAAATATGAATTGAGCGGTTTATTAAGCTGCCCAAAAATCAATATTCAAACAGGCTTTACCCTGTGTGTGTGTGTGTGTGTGTGTGTGTGTGTGTGTGTGTGTGTGTGTGTGTGTGTGTGTGTGTGTGTGGCGTGTAGACCGATTCCCTGGGCCAAAGTAGGGCAGGAGAGTCTGGCATCAACGCAACTTCCTGCATGAGTGACCTAAGGAAACAATGTGTGTGTCTGTTGCTGAGTGTGTGTGAAAGTGTGCGTGTGTGGGCTTGCATGCATGCGTGTGTGTGTGTGTGTGTTTCTCCGCCCTACAGCAAGCTGAAGAGGGGGTGGAGCAAACGAGCGCACCAGCAAAAGAGACAGATAGAGAAAGAGAGGAGTGTAACAGAAAGAGAGAGTTAGCATCTGTTGTTTCTGTGGCAGCTGAGCAGCACTGGACTGATTTTATACACACACACACACACACACACACACACACACACATTTCCTCTCTGTGCCACACACTACTGCCTACCTACACACACTTCTTTTCACACGCTCACAAACATTTACATCCTTCTGCTCTGGCTCTCTCAGATGCTGGCATTGGAGCTTCTGCATTATCTATCCCTCTCTGTCTCACACACACACACACACACATCTGCTCTCTCTCTCTGTTTTTCACCCCTCATTCAAATCTCGGGACTCTGAGCAGCACAGACACTTATCTGAAAGCCATCGTACCAGCATCATCTCGTGCGGATGTTGAACCTGCCTGTCTGCTTGCCTGCAGCATGTGAGTACAGCTGAGCGGGAGTTGGGAGAGACAGACCTGAACTAATGTACTTGTTAACATCCTGCCTCTAGTAACATCCTGGCATCACTGTTAACTGATCATTTGGTTTCAGGGAGTGTTTTGGGGAACAGTGTTAAAGGTAATATTGGACTGAACCTGATCTGGTGAAAGTGTGGTGCTTTAACACTGTTATCTCTCTGATGACCAGTGATGCAGCTTTAACATATTGGCTCCTATGCTGCCTTTGGACTAACGACTCTCACAGTGTAAGAAACATTGGTGGTTTAGTGTCAACAGTCTCACTTCCAATACTGTCTCCTTTTTGTTTTCTTACTGTGTCTGTATCACTTTTGCTGTATCGTAGGATTTGCTTTTTAAAAACGAAGATAATCAAGATTGCAGCTCTTCTCACTACTCGGCGCTCTGCTTTGCTTGTGAAGCAGCAGATGATCAGAGCTGCAGCTTTGGCAGCACTGGCTTTGTCTTTCTCTTCAGGACTCAGTAACGCTAATATCATAGCAATCCATCATAGCAACACAGTCTTTGTTTCTGTAGATCACAAAGAGGAAGAACATATCTGTAGCTCTACAGTATCTCTATCTTTGTCTCTATTGTTTCTGTGCCATTGATAAACCTTTTATTATTTATTTCACCAGATCAGGTGTGAGTTTGCTGCATTACAGCTAAACTTAATCACAGTCATTAAGCTGTTTCCTCTTTTTCTCTTTTCTGTCTTTCTTCAGTCTTGTTTTCCCCCTCACTGTCTGTCTCTCTCTCTCACTCTCTCTCTCTCTCTTAATCTCATAACACTGCACTGAGGCGATGTTTGCTGACAGAGACGATTAGATGCTTATGATGTGAAAGTTCAGTACAGTATCTGGTGATTTTGGCATGTGTGATCACTCTGTGGTGTGGTGAGTCCAGCGAAACAAACAGAAAATGAAGTGTAAATCCATCAATTTGTAATGGATTAGAGCTGAGATTGAAAATGCCAAACTGAGGTCAACAATGAAAATATTCAAAGTTAAGGCAATAAATTACATTTTCAGAAAAATTGCATTTTTGATCCTCTCAGTCTGGAATGATTGGAAGCAGTCTTGCTTCGATGTGAAGTGCTGCATTATCAAACCTAGTTCTTACTACATATAACATACAACAACAAATCTATCAACAGTATTTCCCCAGAACATCAATGTGTTGTTTTCAAACCGTAGCTCTATAAAAAAAACATGAGATGTGGGTGTTTTAGGTTGTGTTAGGTTGTTTTTAGTTTTTGACAGTGTTCAAACACGGAGCATGTATATAGAGCGGTAAACAATGTAATGAAAACAGAAATGGGGAGAAAAAGTCAGGAGATACTGCAGGTTCAAGATCTGTGTGAGCTTGCGTGCGTGCGTGCGTGTGTGCGTACGTGCGTGCGTGTGACCGTGTGTACCTCAAGTATTATTGAATTACTCAGGGTTAATTAGATTCTGTAGTCCACTGTAATGGTTCAGGCACACACTAACAGGGACATCCTTCAGAAGGGCTTTTTCAGGCTTATTGCCAGCGGCATTGTCATCCATGTGTTAGTTCAGAGGTTTCTGGGAAGTAGTGTGGTGTTAAGAGGACTAGAAGACAGTCAGGATTTAATACACACATATCTGCCGGTTAAAAGTAAATATTTTTACTTTGCTGGAAAAAGACGATCATCCTAAAAGCCACGCATGCACATTAGAAAACAAATTATTTCATTAGTTTTTCCACTTTGTGCATTTCCATAAATAATGTACATTTGTAATTAAAGAGGCACAGTGACATTTTTATGGCCTGACTAGAAGAAAAAAAAGGTCAGAAACTGAAAGTGTTGTTGCAGCGTGAAGCAGTACTAAAGCTACAAGGCTGCTATGCTGAGTGTATGAGCAAATCATTGCACTTTGCATTGATTGGCCAACTGGTTGCTCTCTCGCAATTAACTACTTGTCATTCAAGTGAGATGGGGATACAGTTGTTCCTGGCAATTAGACTGAAAGTAATGTTTTTAAAAATTCATTGTTGTATTTGGGTACACAGGTTTGAGGGAAAAAATACATTCACATGAGTATTATAGTTGCTGTGTTTCTGTTTGTTTTTACGGTATCTGAATGGATTTTTATTTTTGTGTCTTTCAAGTAGGTTAGTTAAATTCCAGCCAATGAGCAAATATGAGCTAACTGACTAATAACTCCATGTAAATGCTGCAACAATGATGCTATGTCACACCACTGCTGAGCAGCTTAAACGTCACTGTGTGAACTCAGTGTGCATGTATAATATGACACTTGTGTTCAGTTCAGACTTGACGATTTTGCACCTACAACACAACATGTAAGCACCTGAAGTCAGATATGTAAAACATGTCTAGCTGCCATGTAACTCTGCTTATATGAGTTTACAGTATTCTTCTCACAAAGAAATTCACCTTCAAATAATTGTTATTCTTGTGGTTTTACAGGATGTTTTCTGTGTGACAGAGTTGTATTGTAGACGTGAAATTAAAAGATTTTCTAGTCTAGTAAATAGCAGCATTCTTCATTAATTAATGAAGAGTTTTGTTTTTACCATGAATACTGCAGGACAAAATTTTATCTTAATAAAAACATTCTTATGTCAGTATTTATGAATAATAATACATCCGAAGAGATTTGTAAACACAGATTTTTAATGATGCATTCAAGTCAGTTGTAGTCTCGAACTGGTTGTATGTGTGTGTGGATCATTGTGTGTGTCTTTGATATTGACATGGATCGGGTCTGATGTAACAGGAGTTAATATTCAGATCAAACAGACTATTACATTATGGCTGTAGAGAATGTGTTGACAGCTTACTGCTTGCATCTGGATGTCCCTGAGTTTGTGAGTGCGTGTGCCTGTAGTAGTTGCGTGTTTGAAGTTAAGCAGGATAGTCCAGCACTGAGAGATCCCCTCTGTACATGGAAAATAAACTTCTTGCAATTTTCATCACATCCCAAAAATAGATGTACTTTTGTACTGCAGCCATTTGTAGGAAATGTGGTTAACACTGTGCATAAACCTCCATCACCCTTAAATCTGTGTTTGTTCATGCCTCTGCTCTTCTCTTTGATCTACATACTGTAATGTGGTTTCTGAACCATTGAGCAAAGATGATTGAAGCGTAAAAAATCCCTGTCGCTCAGCTACTTCTATGGTGGAGTTACAGGCAGCTTGTAAAAGTAGCTTAAATTACATTCTCTATAGATATTTCAATAGTTGATGTAAGCATTTATATTTATAAAACCTGACACCTGAATTCTGCTTGGTCTAACATTTGTCTTCTTGTGTGTCTCTCTGTGTGTGTAGAGTATAGTCGTTTCGAGGCAAAGATCCATGACCTGAGGGAACAGATGATGACCAGCAGTGTCAGTTCCAGCTCTACGTCGCTCCGCTCCACACAGAAACGCACACTTTACGTCAGGTAACACACACACACACAGCAGACAGAGGTGACTGATTGTCTAGTGTCCTTCAGTGTGACACAACTATTATACGGTCTTATCTCAGCTGTCTACTCTACGTTTTGTGTGTGTGAGTTGCTGAAAGAGAGGTTATCACATCTAAAATCACAATTAGATTGTGTGGCAAATTCTGTCTAACACACAAAAATCCATCGCCTGTCAAGTCTCTCGATTTGTGTGTGTGTGTGTGTGTGTGTGTGTGTGTGTGTGTGTGTGTGTGCATGCGCACATTCCTCGTGTCATTCTTGTCCTTCCCTGTCCTGGTTGTTCAGTCGTCTCGGAATCACTCTGTCCATCCTTAGTTTCCTCTGCAAAGCCGAGAAACAGCATCAGTCCTAAACCACCTACACTTTTAACATCCTTTCTTCACAAGAATCACGGCATTTGAAATATTGATTAAACGCTAGCTCGCTGGGTCCAGATAAGTCACTTTGGAGCTCTTGGGAGATCAATACACTGAAAAACAAAGACAGGAAAAGCAGCTCTAATAGTCACAGTCATGATGAAATGGGCTTTACGGGAACTGTTTTTTAGGTTGTATCCGTTATGCTAGAACTGAAAATTACTTCAACACATGTTGTCAAAGAGGAGAAATCAGCTACAGTCTCTGTCATCAATGAATTAAAATTCATATTTTTTAGAGGGAAAAACATTGATATTTTCACTCAAATGATACCATGAGCAGTCAAAGAGAGAGAAGGCACAATCAACCTTTGTGAATGCAGGCAGACAAAGATGTGTAAGGGGTTAAAACATTAACTACAGGAGAATTACATTATTTGGTACGTTGTCCAGTTAAATATTCATGAAGTTTGCACATAATTTAAACTCAATAAGCCTCACATTTCTATCTGTTTAAACCACATTAAGATCCCACTATCACAGTGACAACAGTTGTTTATTCTATAACCAGAGTGCATGCAAAACAAAGAAATTTTCACTTAGGTTAATACTGACTTTTCGATTGTAAACTCCAAAGAATGCCCTTGTAGAAGAGACCAGGGTCAGGACTGTAATCTAAATGGTTCGAGAACAAGAACAATTTTAATTTCTGTCTCTCATTTTAAGTCAGTGTGTGCACAAAAAGAAGCAAAATAGCTTGTTAGGGAGGTAAAGATTCAAATAAAATGTATGGTTTTACAATAATATATCATTTCTTATATCTCTCTTTGTATTATCTGTGTTGGTAATAAAAAACATATTTGTGATAGAAGACTGTAAAGTTTGGTAGATAGGAAAGAAGTACGTGTTCAGTCATGACAAATACACCTTAACTGGCTCTTGGTGTTTTTTTGTTTTTGTGAGAAATGAGCTCCAACAAATTCTATTTCTTTTTCACGTTTGTTTTCTAACCAAAAATACTAATAATACAAAGCTCAGAGGAAACTACAGCGACAAGTGTTATGCATGAAAGGGTCATCTGACCTGAACTGTGTGAAAGTAACCTAGAAGGCAAAAGGTAGCCGGGACAGAGTGACCTTGAACTACACACTCTCTCAGACTGACTCACACTCAGAGGAGGGCTGGGGTCAGACTGTACAGACAGCTAGAGGCCAAAGGTCACATTCAGCCCTCTGGGAGCTGCATTACAACAAGTACAACAAGTGTCAGAGATTTATCAGACTGATTGGTTAAATTAAACTCACTGTTGAATATGTGACTGAAATATGATTCTAGTTTATTTGTGTGTTAATGACAGTGGACCTACAATAATTTGTAAAGCCTGTAATGACCTGCTTGGCATACATACCCACCATTAAAACAAATGATCCCCTTTGTGAAATGTAAATTTAATAGAAAAATATGAGGAAACATAGCATTGCAGCTGCTTGCCGTCACCCGTGTTAATTAAGTTAAGTCACCCATAGGCCTGATTATCATTAGCATAAATTAAGTGTGCACCCATTGTTTTTATTTGGTTTTGGCTAAAAGTGAAAAGAAATGGCTCGTCAAGCTCATTTGATAAAATAATAAGGATGCTTATATATCGAGGGACAAATTCACAAAAGGATTGCGCGACTGCTAAACCTGCACAAAAAAGACCAGTGTAATTCTCAAAGCACCCGCAAAGAGTGACATGCACCCTTAACAGCGCCACCAAGCAAATAGCGTCCCGGTTCTCTGGTGCTATTTGTACATATTTAATATAGATAACGTGCATACATATGGTGCAAAATTGACTCCTTTCTATGCAAATGATCCTCACTGCAAAAAAAGTTCAATTGACAAACACCAGCACTAATAGCCACATGCAGTTGAATTTATTAGCATCTCCATTTCAAGTTGACATGGCAGCAGTGATTATAGCCAGGTGAAGACACACTGTAACAGTCCTGCACAGAGCGGAGTGGGAGAGAAAACAGCTCAGACACATGAGGGGGAGCGCAGAGTTAGAGCTGGCAGATAGAAACAAATAAAAGAGCAAGGGGAGTTAATATCAGAAGGTGCAGTCTATTCTTTTGAAATTGCATTTGACTGAAATAGTGCAACAATAATTAGAACATGAAGTTTAGCTATTATTTACGGATGCAATTTTCTGCAAAAAAAGAGGAAGATTACAGTGAGATTTTAAGACAAATTTAGCATTTTTTTTGCAGAAAAACATTTTACAGAAAAATAACTGAAATCAATGTCACATAGAAAAAAGAGCAACATTATATTGTTTTTATAAAACTGCTCTAATAGTCAATAGTATAGCACCAAAACAGCAGATTGGACCAAAGTGGTGAACTCCTAGCATGCTGCGTGGTTAAAAACACATAAAACTTAAACCAGCAGAAAAGTTCAGAATAGATTAAACTCTGAAACCACTGAATGTTTTTTTTTTATACAACAGAGCACTCAGTACGTGAATGAATAATTGTGGATTTAATAAGGAAATATTCAGCTTGTCGTCATGACACCCCGCATGGATTTTAATGACAGTGTTTCTGCAAGTCTTGTCAAAATCAGACCACGATCATTTCAAGGTTATATAGAATAATGTAGTTAGTCCGTAACAACCCACATGATAAATCACTGTCATACGTGAATTTGGTGTATTGCTGATTGGTCGAGGTGAGGCTGTCGGTGTGTGACAGATTGGGGGTGTCTGGAGCTCTGGGCTTCTGTGTGTGTTCATGCATGTACGTACAGTATGTGTACGAGTGTGTGTACTGGGTTGTTTGTACTATCTGTGTTTAATGGGTAAGACACAGGCCAACCTTTCCTCTGAGGAAATGTCACTGAAGCAAGGTGACATATGTACGACTGTTCTTTGTGGGAAAGGTGTGTGTATGTGTGTCCTCTATCCATTCTCCTCCACTTTTCTGATTTTACACAATTAATGTCCTCTTTTAAACGCACTGTTGGGTTTGATATCTTGACATTGTAATTGTATATTCACTGCACAAAGATCCACCTGGAAAGGCAGGGATAGCTACAAAGTAACAGTAACACTATTAAATCCCATCACCACATACAATGTATTTTAGATTCTCACTGAATAACATATTTTCAAATGTCTATACATTTTTATTTATGAAGCTACTAATTTGACATATTAGGATGTATTTGCCATCAGAAGAGGGGAAGATAATGAAAGGTTCTAAGTCCTAAAAGACCTAATTCTCAGCCAGTTGGACCCTGCTGGCGTCCGTATAGTCTATACTGATTTCATCAATGGATTTATAACAAAACAGTGCTGCATTGAGTGGGATTTCAGGGTATATGAATTCCTTATACTCATGTGTCACTGTGCACTGAAAAATTATACCAGTCTCTGCTGTGCTAATCTCTTGTGCAGCTATCAATTTATTTTGAAGCATTTAAAATGCTTCGGGATATCTGCTTCTTGAAACTGAATAAAGTGGTTTTAAATTCCTTTTTTTATTGTTGAGTGAGTTGATTGAAAATGGTCTGAATTTTATTCTGACAATATATTACATTTTATCAAATTTACAGTATGGTAATAGCAAATAAACGATAATTACATTATCATACATTATTGCTAAAAGAATAGCTTACACAAAATTATTATATATTACTTACTGTTTTGTATTAGATAGCACTATCATATGGTGTATTTCAGTGAATTACCTTGCATATTCACCTCTAAAATAAAGTGCATGTATGCAGTAATGTTGCATGAGTATTCAGTGAAACTTAAACTGCAATGCAGTCTGGACAATGCTGGCTGTGTGAAAAAGAACACCAATACAGTATTTAATGTTTTAAATTTCTGCTGCACTCACTGGAAAAGGCCATTGTAAAAGATGACCAAGTGTTTCTGTTGCAGTTTCTCTGCAATAACTAACTTGTGTTCCTTCGTTCGAGTAATTAGATGTCCCCCAGAGGTTCCGACATAGGAATGACTGTAATACTGAAAGCTGGTAATTGAACAGTTACATTCACATGTGGCCTTAATAACAGTAGGAACAATTCATCAGTGTAACCTGCTAGCTAAAAATTGGTGCTCAAATTTTTTACTGTACTTTATATTTCCTTCTATAAACATTGACTCTTGGAGTTATGACATTATGAAGAAAAGGAAGGTTATTTATATACTCACATCTAGCAGCTTTATTGTATATATCCGTATCAGTATTTTTTTGTATCCTTTCACGTGCTGTCTTACTATTTTAAAACAATTCCAATTCTTGCACGCACGCAGTAACACTATATAAATTTTGAGGGCAAATAAATGTTCAATTCAAATACAGTTTGGCTGCAGGCACAACACTTTTTATTGTATTTAATGTTACAGATGTCCACAGGTATATTTCCTCAGGTTAATACACACACAGTCTAAAATATTACACTGCAGTAATTACTGTGTTTATTCACTCGGGTAATTAGATTTCAGAGGTGTCCACATAGGAATTAAAGTGACTGTAATACTAATAACACGAAATTGATTTAGAGTTACATTTACATAGCTGTGGCCTTATAATACTACACGCTATCCATCACTGTAACCTGTAACCTTTGGGATGTGTGGAACTCTTAAAATGAGAGTGCTCTTGTTTGTTTTTTACTCTACATCTTCTTTTATAATCACTGAATCTTGGAGTTGTGATATCATGAAGGAAAGGAAGGTTAGTTACAGTATACACGAACTGACAGCTGCCCTTTACTGTATGTATCTGTGGACCCACTAATGTAAATAACCCTGCACTTCATATATCCAATATAACCTGCAGACTTTCAAATGCCATCTCCTTTTATTATGTCTTTTACTATTTTAGAACATTTTAATTTCTTATGATAATTTGGAAACATCTCTAAATGTCTCACTACGTTGTGCAGCTGCTGATGCAGTAGGCCCACCACTGCTACTATTGTCTATATCCCGTTCATAGCAGAATGCATATTCTTTTTACATGTTTTCACTTATACATATTCTTTATAAATAAAAAATCCACCATTATAGATTTTGAAGATTTGGGAACACTTTGGTAACACTAATTCATTTCACCAGATGTTTCCTGGAAAGTTCCATGTAAAATAGAGAGTGATTACTTGGAACACTTAACCGTTAATTCAAAATGCTAATTTAGTGTTACCATCAGATTGTTAGCATGTCAGCTGAGCATGGAGAGATATGAAATGTGTCTACAAACATACAGTTTGCCATGTGTAAAGAATTGATTTCAACAATTTAAAGAGAGGAAAAGGACATTCCTGTCATGACGACAAAGCTCCCTAAACCCAAGAAGTAATTTCAACCCACACTGCGATCTTTTCCTAAGCCTAACCAACACAAAGTCATTTTTGTGCCTAAACCTAAGCAAACTTTAATCATAAATAGGAGTGTCAGATCCAAAAACACATTTATGTGTCATTGTAGAGTGCATGGACAAACATCGTAATTTGTTGTTTAATTTAGAGGACTTGCTCTTGCTCTTTTTCACTCCAGTCTACATAGATTTTTCTAGCAAACTTCTCTTTCATTCAAATCATTCCTATGTCATTGCCTTAATCATTATCAAATTACATAAAATAAACTGTAAAATAACCTGTCTCATTTATATAAACTCTGTATCCACCAGTTTCATCTGATTTAATGATTGCAGTCCTCTATGTTGACCATGAAGAAGTTGCAGCTGTATAGAAAAGTCAGGTGCCACCACTTCCCAAACAAATCCCAAAACAGTGCAGACCCTTCTGGTCATAAGATCACATTTCTGTTGGACTATAGTCCAGTCTAATGGAGAGTCAAATTTTAGCTGCCAGCTAAATACATAATGCCCTGTGTGGAAGTCTTCTAATCTAAAATCAATAAAACATGTGGTGGTGTTTTTCTGGTTTCAGACTCACTGTCTACCTCTCTGTCTGATTTTCTCTCTTGGTTTCTCCTTCTCTGTCTATGTTCTGTTTTATTGATGAAGGCAGCAGGGACTTTAGGGGATGCCGGTTATTTCAGCTCTACTTCCTTTTTACCCCCACACACACACACACACACACACACACACACACACACACAGCTGGCCTACTTTCCTAGGTCTTTTCCCTCTGGACGAGTTTGAAACTCTGTGGTCACAGAGACAGATCACCGTTCAGACACACACACACAAAACATACACAGCGACACACAAATGCACACATGCAGATGTGTACAATTGCATATACACACCGAGGCATGTGCACACAAACAAGGTCATAACTGAATAGTGTAGAAGAGCAGTGCTCAGCTGTTTTGGCTCTTATTTACTATAACAGATCTCTCTATCTGTCTCTCTGTCTTGTTTTGTCAGTTTACTTTTTTAAATTAAAAACTCATGATCTCCGCCAGGCATACATTTGGTTGTGTGTGTGCTGAAAGACATCTCATGGTTTCTGTGATTCACAATTTTAAAAACCTATTTTAGACTTTCATCTTTTCAGCAGCATTTGCCCCTTTACGATATGTGTTACACCAAAGCAAAAGATATTTTCAGCAAACGGCTTGGCTAAACACAAGGCTTACTTAGTCTATTGCAGGCCACATTTTGGCCACTTTACTGGCTCAAAAACTGACATCTATAGAAATGTTTAGTCTCATATTGAGCACCTGCTGATTAATTCCACACCCGATGATGTTGAATGATCCACTGAAGTTAGGCATGATACGAGACAATTGAGATTCAACTCTTCTTTGTTTTGGATGGAAGAGGGAGGTAGTGAGGGGTTTAATTTTGTGTGGTGTGTTACAACAAAATGTTCTATGTAAGGAAGAATGTTTGAATTCAGATGTTTGGATTTATCGCCCAGTATTACGCTGGGCGCTTTTATCCAAAGCAACTTACAATTGCTATATAAGTCAGAGGTCCCACACTTCTGGAGCAACCAGTGGTTAAGTGTGCTCAGGGACACATTGGTGGATGTATTGCAGTAGGAATCGAACATGGGTCTCTCACACCATAGTCTTATTCACTGCTCCATTCCCACCCAGTTCTCTTATCAAGTTTATACAATTAGGCAAACCCCGGATGCTTGGTTACGATACCTTTACACTTGTTATGGGAGCGTGTGTGGTTGTAAGGTGAGGACCCAAATGTAGACACAGAGCAGAGCAGATTCAGTTCGAAAGGATTTTATAACTTAAAATGAGCTCACATACAATGGGTGGTTGACTCCAAACAGTCCAAAGGAAGGTTCATAAATCCAAGATGGCAAACAAAAACAGACATCCAAACAGGTACAGATCCAGGGGTTCAAACAGGCAGATTTACAGGCAGGAATAAACACACACAACAAGGGAGACAGCACTAATGCAAGCTATACATGACAATGGCCAGACACAGACTGAGGGAAACACAGGCAATATATACACACAGGGCTAACGAGCAGGGAGGGAGGGAACAGGTGAAAAATATAACGGTCTAATCAGAAACAGGAACAAGCTAGACACAAACACCAGACACTGACTACTATAAAATAAACCAGGTAGTAAAGCATGCGACAATAGACAAGGATGAAAGTAACACAATACCACAGAATGCATGCATAACAGACAAAACCTAAACGAGAACACAGAACTAGAACACAGAGGCAGGGAGTGAAACACAACATAATGGGCCAAGGCAAGACTGAAGAGAAATAACTGAACAGGGCTGAAAATGCAAGTAAACATAACAAGGCAGAACAGAGGAAACAAAACATGGAATAAAAACCCTAAACCACATAAACAGACTGAAACAAGAAACACCGAACAGACTGACATCAAGACAACAGACAGAACTGAAAACCAAAACACAACGGACAGATAAATAACAGATACAGAACTGACCAATAAACAAAACTCGCAGAGAACTACACTATACAGCGCAGACAGGCAGAATGCAACCAAGCATGAAACAAACTAGAACTAAGGCAAGCACAGATCAAAACCAAACAAGACAGGAAACAGTAACAACAAGAACACAAAACCCAAGATGACTGACTAAAACAGAAAAAAAAATGAACATAAACCCAAAATTGTAACAACACTATTATATGCATCTTCATGAAAACTGAGACGAAACTGTTCAAAAACACTTTATTTAAAACGTTGCATACATCTATATAAGAAAACGTACACTATACTATATAAAAAATTATTCCACTACTCTCAACCATACACAACCTGCCCTGCACTCGCTGTTCCCCACCCATATGATTTGCACTCCACTGAGTACATTCTTCTAGTTGCTAAAATGATTAAGCTAAATGCTTTTTAAAATTGAAATTAAGATGAAACATATAGTGAAGATTTTGACATTTCTCACAGCAAAATGTCCCTGGTGGTTTCATACTTAGGACAATGCAAAATAGGAATCATTTCATCATCTATGCCCCTGAATGAATGCTTCATCTGTCTGTTTCTGCCCTCTCCAGCAGGCTGGATTGTCTCACTGAAGTTGTGTTTTTGACTAAATGTGTGTTATATGAAATTGGCTGTTTCTCTGTCTGTCTGCAGAGCCTTGTTCGACTACGACGGAAGTGCGTCAGATCTGAGCACGCCTAATCAGGCCCTGCCATTTCATTTTGGGGATATCCTCCACCTGAGCAGCGCTGGCGAAGAGGAGTGGTGGCCCGCCCGTCACCTCAGCCCCCCGCCTCCCAACTGCCCTGAAGTGGGAGTCATCCCCAGCCGCAGGAGGTCAGAGTTTTGGATGTAACATTTCAGACTTGTAGTATTTTTACATTGCACAATTAATACTTACACTCAAGTAAAAGATCTGAATAATACTCATAACACTGCAAGCAATCATTATGTAGCATCTGCTGAATGTACAGCCATGGTGGAATCTGAGCAATATTTCCTTGTTTCGCAGTGGAGGAAGCGACAGACAGATGTTGATAGGTTTCTGAGGTGGGAGGAGGAGAAAACAAGTCTTGTTACTTTCCGTGACACTGAGAGAGGTGATGGAGATGGAGGGAGGAAAATGATGGAGTGGAAAGAAAGAAGTGAGGGAGTGTTAAAATTACCATGAATAAGAGAAAGATGGATTAGAGGCAACAAGGATGAGTGGGAGTGAGCGAATGAAGCATGGGAGGTAGGGATGTACTGTAGAGATTGTCACACGGGGGTGTAGTCGGTGAGGTATTAATAGACTGAGGTGTTAGAATAGAGGTTGGGTGAGAGAATCTGGGGTGTTAGAGGTTGGTGCGTTAGAGGTAATGGAATAACTGTGCTATAGAGTGGTGGATAATATTTGATTAGTTCCATTGTATGTATATAGACATAATGTGTAGTGATGGAGGAACATGAAGAAAGTTGGGGCTCAGTTTGATACAGGCAGCCATTCCAGAGGACTTCCGCCAAAGTGAACACACACAAACACAGACAATGAACTTACATACGGACTCCTTAGATATTCGAAAGATGAGAACCAGATGTTCTTGTTATCAGAGGTCTGTGTTTCAAGGGACGTTACTGAGTGATTCGGGAAAAAGAGCTGATCAAGCCAAATACTTCAGTTGTACCCTAACCCTACTGGAATGTTGGTGGATGTTTCTCATATGGCAAAAACTGACTCAGGTCTTTTTTGTGTGAAAATAAAAAACTAAATAAATAATTGAATATTTTAAAGGAAAGAGACAAAAAGGGATGTTATTATATAGATTTTAAAGGCTGTGGTAGGAGTGTGTTGATCAAGCTGAGGTATTAAAATTATTGATTATTAGTATTATGTGGTCTAGCGTAACATGAGGTCTAGTATGTGAAGTTTATTAGTAAAGTTAGCCGCCATTTTTTATATTGGCTGGTTAACTGTTCTGTGGTTATTTTACATTCTAATGATGTTAATGATTTGTGGGAAATAAAACAGAGCAGAGAGGAGGAGACTATAGAATTGAGAGGAAAGGAGAAACAAATATGACTTATTTGCCATTGCAGTAGTAAACATGCTTGCATGAAGGTATTGTTGGGTTGTAAAGCCTTTCAGAGAGAAACTGTCATCAGGGATTAAAACCAAAGAATAGCCTGCAGTCTAACATTTTTTCTTTAGCTATTATTGTAATTTCTGCTGTGGACCTCAGTGCTGCTGGTCTGTTTTCAGTGACAGTTCTTCAGCTGTTTACCGACATCAGGAGGCTAAAAGCTAGATAATGTAAGACTTTGTCTAAAAACACATCTGGCTTGTCAGCCTAAATTATAAAATGAGGCTTCAACAGAGAAACTCATACTGAACTGAGACATTAGAGATTCACCTAATTTGATTCTTGAATATTATCACCAGCAGGAAATGGCCCTCTAAATCTAAATTTAAACTTAGCAGCTTAAAACTGTCTCCCTAGCAGGAGCAAGCAGACCTTCTATGAGGAGAAAGTGTCTTTTTTATCATATGGCTGAGGTATTTGGTGTCTCACTCGATCATGCTCAATCACTCAATCGCAGCTCATTCAGATTAGTGTATGTGAGCATGCTATATGCTCTTTACTGTGGAGTTACATAAAATCTGGATATTAAAGTCCACAAAATGTCTTGTGTTAAATATAGTAAGCTACAAAATTACTTTTTGAATATTTCATCAGTCATCAGTTCAAATCAGTCATCAGGACTGATGACTGATTTGTTTCTGTTTCTGAAATCTATAAATATATTATTGTCACTAAATACCATCTCCTGTACAAAAGAACTTAAAATTTTGAATCTGTGTTTTTCAGACAAACATGGGGGGCATGAAGTAAAATAAAATCAGCTACATTTCATGTATTTGCTTCTCTCCTTACTCTATTGTTTGCATCTAAGCATATTTCTTAATGGGTTTTTTTCCTGTCCTTCCAACTCACAGGGCAGAGAAGAAGGAGAGGTCGAGGTTAAAGACGGTCAGAGTGACGAGGTCTCAGGACAGATCAGTGAGTAGCAACCTGATTTATAAACCTAAAACATTACAAAAGTCACATCTTAGAGTTAACCTTCCTAAAAAGCAGAAAGCATTAGTGCACTAACCAACATTGGGTTCATTACTCTATTAGTAATTAGTGTTATTGATAACATTAAGACTAAACGTAGTTGCTGAAAACCCTTTATATAAGAGTGTGCAGTATTCCCTTGTGTGTCAAACATTCTCAAAAGCAGGTGTTTAATTTAAACGTTGGCAAATTAATACAAGTAGTGAACCGTATTAAAACAGCCAAGGGGTGAATACTATTCTCGAACAATACCCATAATGAAGTATCTGAAAACACACTCTCAAGACTCTTCTAACAACATTAAACATGCATATGAAACTCTTAATAATAGCTCTCCAGTGATCTTCAGTTCTCAGATTAAAAATCGAATGACAATGTGTTGTAATACTGTTAAACCAGGTGTAGAGGGGGGTTTGACATTGTGTTATTTGCAGAGGAAATCGGGTTTTTTTCACCTGGCAGCTTAATTATATATAACTGTGCTATTAATAAAACCAGAGTAGAAACAATTCTTCCACAAAGACACGTTAAACCTTTCAATGAACAGGGGTCACATCTTATCTAAACTGAGAAGTACATTTGATTTGTTTGAAAAAGGTAAGACAAGGTTACTTGTACAGCATACGCAGGTGACTGTTTTACTGTATGTAAGCCATTGAGGCTAAACAAACAGAATAAGGTAGCCAAGTATGAAGAAAAAAACAAATGTAAACAATATAAAAGAATATATTTTCAGTGCAGATCTAAAAGTATTAAGTTTTGAGTCGAGTTTTCTGCCCATTAAGCTGACCAGAGTTCATATTGTAGATTCTACAATATCTAGGATCAAATGCTATAGCTATACAGAAGTATTACAGACACATATAGTGGAGGTACAATTTCATGATTTTATAAGTGATTATTTCTAAATGAGCAATATTTTATTATGAATTATATGACCCGTGTAGCGACCTCAGCTTGGAGCATCAGCAGTCTGAATGAGCTGTTGTTTAAAAGCTATTTAAGAGAGACCTAGAGATAAAGGTAAATGGATAATTGTTAGTGTTGTACTGATACTGAGATGATTATTCCTCCTTTTTAATAATTTGGTCAACCAATCAGTCATTAGGATATTTGTGGACTAGGAAATAATCTGATTATTCTGAAGCTCTATAAAATGTGACATCACTAATATTCCAAAAACTTAAATAAATATACATTGGTTTTTAATTAGCTCTAGATTTTCTAGATTTTAAAAGATCCTTCTGCATTACAGTTTTCATCTATAAACAGCAACACTGCAGAAACAATCTGACTGTTTTGGAGTTAAATCAACAAATTGACAAGGCAAAGCATTCCTGTGAGCTGACTAAAAATGTATTTTGTCAGTGACAGCCACACTACTTGCCACTAGGAAGTGTAGGCGGGTTAACTATTAATTAGAGACTAATTAAAAGTACATCAACTAGTTTTTTATTACTTTGATATTTGGGATTTTGAAAGTTCCAGTCTGAGTTCACAGGCAAGGCGACAAAGTCGTGACTTTAATCACAGTTCACACAGCGCAATGATGACAGCCGACACACAAGTCTAACACAAGCTATTGATATCACTGTGTTGTCGGCTCACTCTCTCACTTGCGCTCTGTTTTCCTCACACTATGTGAATCAGCAAGTCTGCAATCAGCAACTGTGCATGGTGAAGAGATGATAATTAAAAATGATCACACACACGCGGTATCCCCTGGCTCTGTGCTTTGAGAAAAACTGCAAATTAGTCACGCTCACTCAAACTATGTGTTTCTGTGTGTGTGTGTGTGTGTGTGTGTGTGTGTGTGTGTGTGTGTGTGTGTGTGTGTGTGTGTGTGTGTGTGTGCTTTTGCTGATAACAGTCAAGATACTGATAGGATCATCTTCAGTATGATGATTAATTCTCTCTCTCTCTCTCTCTCTCTGCAGGATCAGGATGATAAAGGTAGGTAGCCTATTCTCTCCATCAGTGACACCTGCTGTTCAGTAAATGTAACTACAGCTCCTTTGCAAAGCGGAATTTCACCTCCACTCTCGTCGTATCTCTTGAATCATCCTCCTCCTCAATCCTGCTCTGGGATGGAGGAAGAGGAACACGATAGAGATGGAGGAAGAGGGTGTAAAGTTGACCATAAAGGATAGTTAATTTCAATCAGTTTATCATTCTAACAATAGACGGGTTTTCAATTTTTCAGTCATTAAAAAAGTGTGGTAATTATTTGAACTGGATACTTTCAGAACTCTACAATAGCACAAAAAAAAATGTTCTGTGGTGGGAGAAGTATTCAGATCTTTCACTTAAGTAAAAGCAGCAACGCCACAATTTAAAGATACCTGGATTCAAATCCCTACTTAAATAAAATGATGTAAGTATGTAAGCATATTTAATGGTTTAACAATTGTTTGCATTGGCAAATAAAGTATTACAACAATAAAATCTCAAGAAAACACTTTCAGTCTAGTGTTTTCCCAAATATATAAAACCCAACTTTCAGTGTAGTATATATATATTTCATTGAGAGGAAAGTAAATTATTTTAATTCACTTGATAACCTTGTGCTGCAGATCACTGACCCAGTCCTAGTTTCTATCCTGTGCTGAATCTCCTGGAGATACCTGTTTTTATTGGCTTGGCCGAGGCCCCTTAGTCACAGTTATAGGAAATGTTAATATACAACAAACAATGTAATAGTTTACACATGACAATGCCCCTGTGCTCAAAGTGAGGTCCCATACAGGTTTTCTCAGTTTGATGTGGAAGAACTTGACTGGCCTGAGTTTAGACCTCAACCGCATCCTGCACCTTTGAGATGAACTGGAACACAGGCCCAGTCCTCTAGCATAAATGGTCTGGTCCAATGTGGCTAAATGGGAGCAAATCCCTGCAGCCAGTTCCCAAAATCCCAGAAGAGAGGAGGCTGTTATAGCAACATATTAATGCCCATGGTTTTGGAATTACATGTTCAACAATCACATCCAGTCCAGAAAACTCCTAAAGACTCCTAACGCTGTTAATCATTCTCTGTAAAGGACACTGATTTTATGCAATACTAATTCATAATCCATAAAATGTCTCCTTTATTACATTAGGAAAAGTAGAATACTTTTATATATAATAATAGAGGACTTAAATGTACCTCTCCTAATGAAGTTAAAGTAGAGACTTTAAAGGAAGCAGTAAACAGTGTAGTCTTTTGGAGGCTGTAATGTTCAGATGTCCATATTCGTTTGGCCATGCTCTGTCATTTTTGCTAGGGATTGTATAATGCATGATTGAATAGCTCCAGCCTCCTGCTTATCTGTACAGAATAAGTGAATATAGAAAAAAGATTGATGGAATGATATTGTGTGCCTCATTGTTGTTGAGTGAGAGTATGTAATAGTTATGTGATATAGAAAGAATGCAAGTCTATGTGCGTTTGTCTGTATCTGTATGTGTGTGTTTGTATGTGTGTGTATGTGTTGCTGACTCTGACCTGTCTTGTCCTTCCAGAGCTGGTAACCTCTGGCACCAGCGATAGTGAGAGTTGTTCCTGTAAGTCTAGACCCTCCTCTATCCATCTCTTTCTTTCTTTCTTTCTTTCTTTCTTTCTTCTTTCTTTCTTACTTTCTTACTTTCTTTCTTTCTTTCTTTCTTTCTACTTTTGTCGTTCTCTCTCACTTTCTTCCTTCTTTTCTCTTTCTTGTTCAGTTTGTATTTTATTTTCAAACCTCCGCCACTTGTTGGTTTGTGTGTGTGTTTCTCTGTGTGTGCTTGTGGGGGTGTCATGCATACATGCACATATGTATTTGTGTGTTGTGACTGTTGTGTTCTTATGTGCATGTGTATTTGTCTGTGTGTGTACGTTTGTTTATCTATGTGTGTGTGTGTGTGTTTGTTTGTCTATGTGTGTGTGTGTGTGTATACAAGTTACCTTTCTCTGCTTCTCCAGCCTTCTTTTCAAGAGCTGTTGAAGAAATTTATGCCAAAAGTAGAAAAGGGTGAAGGTGTGTTTTGTGGTCAATAATCCCATTGACTGTGCCTCTAAACGTGTCCATCATTTCTGTTTGTCCAATCAGCTGGCCAGGAGGAGACCTTCCTCACTTACCAACCTGTCATGCAGCAGGAAGGTCGGTACTCAACTTCACATCATGCTTTTATTTTAGTTTCTTAAGGTTCATTTGTTTTCTTTTTATTATTGTTCTATCTTGGAAAAAATGGGTACTGAAGCTATTCAACCGCAGAAGACCTCTTCATCTCTTCAGTCATATATGGAAATTTACGTTCAGTTTTTTATAATAATAATAAATAACCAATTTGGCAATTAAAGCATATATGCTGTGTGAAAATTTACAGCTTGTTTAATAAAGCCAACTGAACCACTAGTGGGTCAGTCATTACAAACTCATGCTTTGCAGTCAAACTGACTTTATTCAAACTCACACAAGCTACATAAATTGAAATTGAAGGAGAAAAACTGATGTTAAAGGGTTGTTTTTGTTTTCAAGTTTTGGCATTACTTAATTTACTGTGTGTGTGTGTGTGTGTGTGTGTGTGTGTGTGTGTGTGTGTGTGTGTGTGTGTGTGTGTGTGCGTGCCTTGCGTGCGTGGGTGCGTGGGTGCATGTGTGTGTATTAACCTGGTTGTGTTTGTCAAATCCCAGTTAATTACACGCGGCCAGTCATCGTGCTTGGACCAATGAAAGATCGGGTCAACGATGACCTCATCTCCGAGTTCCCTGACAAGTTTGGCTCCTGCGTCCCACGTGAGTGACCTTTAAAAGAATACTGGAACTTAGCACACAAGGCAATCTTTACCCTAACACATGTTTACAATGCGGTAATAAAAGATGAAAAAGGTTTTTAGCTGAGCACCAAACTGAAAGGAGATTAAATGGAGACGGACAACTTCTGTACTTTTGTCATTTATCGCTGTTCCTAGAAGAGATAACTGAGACCGAGAAGACCTGTGAACTGAAAGTAAAAGATCAAATCAACGATTAAATTGAATCAATTCAAGCCAATGTATTTTATTTTCCTTAAAGTTTAAATCCTGTAAAATCTTTTGTCTCAAAATGTTCTTTTACCAGATCTGCTAAGAAGTCAGAGGTTAGAAAGGAGCTGGAACACCACCATTTTAACTTATCCTATCTGCTATTGTGTTTTTAAGAGTCCATTTGGACTTGTGGCCTGTATTTATTAAAAATCTCAGAAATATGCTTAAGAACAACCTTAATAGCCAAAATAAAATTATTTACTATAAGAAATGATTAAGAAACGATTATCTAGCCTTTGTTTTGTTTTTCTTCAGTATATTTGTAATATTTTAGAAATTAAATATGTGATAAAAGATGTGCTTGAGTTTGTAAAGATGAAAAGATACATTTATACTTTTCATTTATTTATTATTGTTTGTTATTTTGTTTTATAAAAGGGAAAGTACATGACATCAACAAAATACCACAACATTTGAAGCCAAAGCTAGTTTTTGAAACCTGCTGGTTAGGATGCCACTCAATGTATTCACCAATTTCTTTTACAACATTTTCCAGGTCCAACCCCCTCATTCTGTTCCTTTTATGATGCATAGTAACTGTGAGAAGTTTCATTCAGATATATTAATATTTACTGGTAGCTCAATGGGCTCAATGTTTTTACATTTACTTTCATTGCGATAAAATGTTATTTAATTCAAAATTTCTCTACCAAAGTAAATTAATCCTTCAGTAAGTATTGTTATCATTTTTTATCAGAATAATATTTTTGGGTTAGCACTATTGCAGCCGTAGTCAGTAGTATAGTTAACTCTGTGCAGGGTCGCAAAGGGGCTGGAGCCAATCCCAGCTGTCATTGGTGAACCCTGGACAGGTTGCCCGTTCATCACAGGGCTAACTCACAAAGAAGTCATACACACGTTCACACCTAAGGGCAAAGAGTCACCAATTAACCTATGCATATCTTTGGACAGTAGGAGGAAGCAAGAGAACATGAGGAGAACCCACACAGACACAGGGAGAACATGCAAACTCCACAAAGAAAGGCCTGGGCCTCGATCCACAGAACCTCTTGCTGTGAGGTGACAGTGCTAACCACTGCACCACCATGTCGCATCTGTGTGTCATGTTAATCTTAATTATTCTCATTTTTTAGCATCACCTACCAGTTATTTTCTGGTACGGTAAAGAAGGACACTTCAAGAGAGGTCACTTAACAAGAGCTTCTTCTGCAGCTATCGCTTCTATTTGTTGGAGCGCATTGCAGACGTACACATTTAGGCTCTCAGAGCTTTCCACCGGGCTCGGTGATCTACAGTCTGAACATTTTCCGGTTTCGCCCCCAATTCCAAATGAACTGTCACATATGGTAAATGGGCTATATTTGCAAAGCACCTTTCTAGTCTTTCCGACCACTCAAAGTGCTTTACACTACATCACATTCACCCATCTATGAGCAGAGACCCAACTGCTAATCAGAAAATTAACTCATTCACACACTGATGGCACAGCCACCAGGTGCAATTTCGGGTTCCCAACTTTCCTTTAAGGGGACGACCGTTCTACCCTGAGTCAAAGCCGCCCACTTATGCCACTTCAACACTTCCAGAATTAAGGTCTATCTGAAAATCTATCTGGTTTACATGTGCATGTGTTTCGTCCACTTTATAGAAATCTGCAGCTACTCTGTGAGCTGGAGAGCTAGCCTACAGCAAAACACATGTAGCTGTTTTTTAAGCTGCAATACAATCATTCTCTGGACACTTATGAATACTTAAGTGTTTATTATTAACTTATGAAGTAACTGTTAGCAGCTATGTGTCTTCTTTTTGAGGAGTTTTACATTATTCTAACTTGTGATATTAAAGTTAATATTACATGATAAAATTGGAAAATGTTGAATATTGTAAAACTTTGTCAGTGTTGAGCTACCAGTAAAAATTATTAGAAAACATTCAAATTTTGTCAACTTAGTTTTTGTCACATTAATAACACATTTGGGGGGTGGGAAGATGAAAATTAGAAACTTTATTTTTGAGTGGCACCCTCAATAAATATATATATATATATGAGATTATATTTATTCTTAAATAATACCTTAATCTGTATAAAATCTATGATCCTCAGACACAACGCGGCCACGGCGAGACTATGAAGTGGACGGCAGAGATTACCACTTCATGTCCTCCAGAGAGCTCATGGAGCAGGAGATCCAGGAACACAAGTTCATAGAGGCTGGACAGTATAACAACCATCTGTATGGAACCAGCATACAGTCTGTCAAAGAAGTCGCTGAAAAGGTGAGTTTAAAGAGAGAGCATGAGGAGGCAGGAGATACAATACAAAGGACGGAGGAAACAGAGAGGAGGAAACAAAGGGATTAATGGAGGACAGGAAGAAGTTGCTTAATTGCCTTCCTCTCTGTTTTACTCTCTCTCAGGGTAAACACTGTATACTGGATGTATCAGGGAATGCTATAAAGCGTCTCCAGATGGCAGGCCTCCATCCCATCGCTGTCTTCATTAGACCCCGCAACGTTGACAACATCCTGTAAGTGACATTAATATCAACACTACCCCCATGACACATACAACATCCTGAATATGAGCAAAATAATCTCTCACCACATGGTGCATTTAGTGGCTTGCATTAAAGTTTATTCGTGACCTTGGAAACAGCTGTTGACATTGATATTGGAACCCTTGTCTGTCTCTCCAGAGAGATGAACAAGCGTTTCACTGAGGAGCAGGCGAGGAAGACCTTCGACAGAGCTGTCAAACTGGAGCAAGAGTTCACAGAGTTCTTCACTGGTTAGTTCGTAGCACACAAACATGTACACATACAAACACAAGTGCGGTTCCTTTCCCACATGCACCTGAACTATGAACTAATGTTCTGGGAATTTGGAGTTACAGTAAGTTTTCTATGGGAGACAATCTGGAGAATTTGAAAGCTCAGGACAAAAAAAAAGAGTTTTGGAAATAGTCCACCACGGCTCGAATGTTAATGAAATGGTTTGACATACTGGGAAATATGAGTCAGGACACGGTTAGCCTACTGAAGCTTAGCATGAAGACTGGAAGAGGAGGAAAACTGCTAGCCTGGCTCAGCTAGCCTGGCTCAGCTAGCCTGGCTCTCTCAAAAGCTCACTCAATAACTCACTGTAATGTTTACATGTTGAGGAGGATCACATGGCATGATTAAAAGCTCCAGTGAATGGAATTTGAGACTATGAGACTGTGATTATATTATCTGAGGTTATATAAATGCTGTTGTTATATGTTTGAAGACTTTTGTTGGTATTTTTTATTTTATTTGACAGTGGAGGTGTATGTATCTTATCTAACTCCCGTATCTTGTTTGTTTAATCAGTAAAGAAGTCATCTGGTTTTATGTGGAGGTATGTGCAGGGTGCAGTAACTTTCTGGAGTCTTGTTGCCACAGTGGGACAACAGCAGAGATGCTGCACAGAAGGCCTGGGCAGGTGGAAATATTATTGAACTGTTGTTGTTTGTTTAGAAAATGTTACAGCAGGTAACGTCCTCTAAAATAACAAATTCTTATTCTTACATTATTTTGTCTACCAAGGAAGCAAAACAAGATGTAACCAGTGAGCTTTTGTGGTGTTGGTATGTTTTTGTTGTTTGTTTTTTTACTTTGGACTAGGGCTGGACCCGAATATTCAAATATTAGAATATTCAAATATTTCGATCGTTGGGTACACGTTCGATTTTCAATTATGAGATTCAAATATAGAGAGGTTTTTTTGCGCGCCTGGTTCTCTACACACAGCAGTGAATGTAATACTCCAGTTCACATCAAAGGGAAACAAAATGAAGCCCTCAGCTGTGTGGCAGAGTTTATTAATTTTAATAATTAATAATTTCAATTGCTTAATTTCATTACAGATCAAAACAGTCAAATTTCTTACATTTTAAAAGTAATCAGTAGGCTACAACAACATAATGAACATTATTAAATAATTATATTAGGCCAATTATAGAAGAGGAACATTTAGTCGCTATAATAAAAGTTAAAAGTGAATTATGCATAATAACGTTGTTTAGTCCCGCTACTGGAAGTCAGTCCCTGGAAGTTAGTAGTTAGTGGATGCTTATTGGTGGTCTTGAGGTAATAGATTCATCACATTATTTTCCCACATTGAGAGCCAATGTGTAAAGAAGAAAAGATACACAAACACACACTCAAATACACAGATGTTGACTTTTAAATGTTACCCCTCCTTTAATAGTGATTATTGTTCCTTTGCAAACACTGTGGGTTACTGGTAAGATATTTTTTGGTGGCTTACAAAATCTTTTGGATATAATTTCTCTCTCTCTCTCTCTCTCTCTCTCTCTGTATCTCTGTCTGTCTGTCTGTCTGCAGCTATAGTCCAGGGCGCATCTCTAGAGGAAGTATATTCGCAGGTGAAGCAGGTCATTGAGGAGCAGTCTGGTCCTTACATCTGGGTGCCCACCAAGGAGCGACTCTGAATTAACACACACACTTAACATGATCACACACATTAATCTGTCAACACACTCCTACTTCTCTACTTTTCTATTATCAGCCTGCTTCCTCTCTCTCTCTCTCTCTCTCTTTTACACACACAAAAACACACATTTACACAAGCACATATTGTTAGACGAGGCTGGGACTATCTTGGACTGCTAATTCCTGAAGTGGGAGGAGCTAAAGCCTGTCCAGCAGCCTATTGGTGGATCTTCCTACAGCTCGATTCCTTAATGTTTAAGGAGGTGGTTCAAATCAAGGCAACATGTACCATTATCTGATTTGATTTCATTATTGTTGTTCTTATTGTTGTTGTCGTTGTTGTTTTCATATTAACGAAGGGTAATGCAATCATGTATGGGTTTGTAATGATAATATTGTCACCAAGAGGCAGACTTTTGCACGCTGTAGCTTTAAGAGCATGTTTTTGGGACAAAACCTTGATCTTCTTCCGTCTGTCTGTCTTTCCTGGCATTGGCATTGCAACTAGCATTGCACCAGTTTTTTTTAAATCTTTTATCTTTTCTATCTTTCTCTCATATCCCACCTCTTCCTCCTCCCTTCTTTAGACGGTCTACTGACTTTAGATATGAGGTGAACACTTTACAATGTGCCCCCAGCATTTTGGTACTAAGGGCCAAAAATGAAACTGCATAGTTCATTACTGTTTAGAGATGTAGCAAGAAAATAATCATAAGTACGATCATAAGACACTTGTTGATATTTCTTGTAAGAAGCAGAAAGGCCCAATCAAAACTTCTCTATATCTAAACTAGATTGCTTAAAAAAGATTAGTATCTAGTACTCTACTGCCAATTTGTTTTTGGAGGGCCAAAACAAAATTTAGTAAATAGGTCTCATAATGGTCCTCCTCCATTTGGAGTCCTGGGCCCGTATTTATTAAATATCTGAGAATTATGCTAAAGAACAGTAAGAAAAGTAAAATTTAGGGCACATTTATCAAGTGTCTTACTCCTACTTGCAGCGAAGTGAGTAACCTTTAAGAGCGACATTCAAGTAATCAAATCATTAATTACGTGTTTGCTCAGAGTAGAACCAGCCAATCAGAGACAAGAATTTACTGCCCTATTCATTATTTTTAAAAAGCTTACATTTCAAGGTGATGTGTTATTCTGCAAAAACATATGTAATTGTAATTTATTAAAGTAAATTGTGTTTGTGTGAAATCCTAAACTAAAATCTTTTTGAAATGGCAACAAAAAGGGGTACACCAGAGAAAAGAGATATTGGCAATTCAGTGCCATTGACATGTGTAGATAATGAAGATGCATGGAAGGAAAACAAAAGAAATGCCATCTTTACTCTTGCTGTTTACAACCTGATGAATGCTTGAAACAAAAAGAAGAAAAAGTCATGTAAAATCCTATTAAATGTTTGAATCAAATACACATAATAGGTAAAATCTACCATATTCTGAATTAAACATATTGTTTCAGCTATGACCAATAATATTTTGTACAGTCCCTCTAAAAGACTTAAATGTAAGAGTATTTTACGTCAAAAGAAATGTCATAAAAGCTTTAATTTTAAGGCTGGTAGGAGTAAAAGTAAAAGTCCAACAGTGTGATAAATACGGCCCCAGGTCCTCAGTTTAAAAAAAAATACTTGTATTACCCAAATCTTTTTCCCACAAGGGCTTCTCTTCCTCCCCTCCTCCACCTCTTCCTCCTCTCTGTCTCATGCCATCGTCTCTCTCCCCCTCTCCTTCTCCACATTCACAGTGTGACATTACTTGAGCACTCCAGCATTAAACAGTGTATCATCTTCTTCATCAACACTATCATCACAATCATAATCATCAGCATCATCATTACAGCTTTCCTTCTTACTGTAGTTGCACTAACGAGGGGTGGTTTCTTAAAAGCATCTTAGCGTGACAGACCTGATACCATCCCTTTGTTTCTGGTATTTGGATTTGTGATTCACTCGCTTTTCTTTCAGTTATCAGTGATGATTATGCTGGTTTGAAAGAGTTAAAGAGGTCAGGGAACACTTTTTGGTTTTGCAGTTAACTCGTGCTGTATATTATGCTATTGTTGTGTAGTTAAAGACATCAGATGAACTCTTCTGTCAGGACTAACTAATCAACTGCTATAACTCTTTCTGCAACATGTTTTTTCATGTTGGATTTTTAAGTTTGAGTCTTCAGTCCCAGAAAGCACCTGAAAACTAGCTCCAATAACTACAATAACGCTCCATACTTTACTCCATAATACAAGCACATGGTGGACAATCTAAGGGTTTTAGTTTTTTCCAGTAATGGGTTGTATCTTCAAAGATGATCCCGCAAATGTCTACAGTTTGCACAGCATGATAAAATGTTTGCCTGAGGCTGAACCCATGACTCAATCCAACATCTGAGTCTTTGACATCAAACTTTGAAATGTAGTGAATTTCCAGAATAACGTTTTTATTTTGAATCAAAGTTTCCCGCTTTATAGGTTCTATGACATGCAACATTACAGTTCAAGTAGCCTATTGAGTCTTTGCTGCTCATAAATGAAAGCTAACTTGCTTCACAACAGTTGAACATGCATCACTAATATAATAAACTTTATTTGCACTGAAGAAAAGAATCCTCACAATGTTGAATGCAGTAAAAACAACTTTTCTTCCAAACAAAATTTTCAGCACTGCAGCTGTTTTATTGTTCTGTTGTTTTTTTATCAGGCCAATTTCCAGCAGTGATGTTGTGCTAAATCGTTTTAGAAGCCTGAGTACTATAGTAGTACTATGGAGCAATGTTTTTACAAGTGGGTCCCTGTTTTGTTTGTATTATGCATGAGCACGTGGACACCCACTGGCAGCATAATTCACATCTTGCTGTTGTTTTCACGCTGTACTGCTAATCGTCAGTTTTTGGCAGGGACAGTGGTGAATGTAATTATTGTTTGTTTACAAAAAAACTACAGTATGTGGAAATAAACCATTTAAATGTTGGTTTAGCCTCTGCCAAACATTTTATTTTTCTGGCCAGATAGTAGACATCTGTGGGATAACGCAACCCTCTGCTAGGTAACAGGTAAGAAATAACGATTTGGTGTTTCTGTAAAAGTAATTATGATCCATATTTTTATAATAGTATATCAAATGACAATGTGAAAACAATGTGAAAGGGTTTGCTTGTAACCTAGAGAAAACAATAATCTGGATTTACAGCTCCCCTCGGCTTTACAGAGAGTTTTCAGCTCTTTGTTTAGCTCTCCTGCTGCAACTTTTCTTCTGTGGTTCACTCTCACCGCTCTCATACCGCCATTTTTAGTGAAAAAGCTCTTAAAACCCACTTTACACTACCTGCTCAGCACCAAACGGCAGACAGACCTAGTTAGCGACTAGCTGGTGAACATAGTGTTGCTTTTTAGGAGCCAAATGTTTTTTTCAGGAGTTCGTAAAGACCAAAAACAGAACTAAAAGAGAGTGAAGTCACAAATGGGGCAAACCTAAAACATGACAATAATCTCAAGAAATACCAAGATGCTTTTGGTAACACCGCCCCTGTATGGACCTTGTCAGCCATCCACTTCCCATCTCCAACCTCAACCCCGAGGCGACTCCTCCAAGGTGACTGGAGACCGGAGACATACAGAAAGGCAGTTCTGTCAACAGAGTAGCTCTTAGATACAAATAATAAATAGCTTTGACCACATGTGTTTTGAAAGCTTTAATATTCCCTCACAGAATGTTCAGCTAAATTATTTCTTCATTCCATCATCAGTGGTGTTGTCAGTTGACAGAACCGGACTCTCTGTACGACTCTGGCTGTGTGTTTTAGCCAGGGGACCATGTCACTGTCTGTTAGAGTAAAGCACCGATGCAAAGATTCTATTACAGAGATGGATCTATATCTAACATATAATATTTATCCCTGCTCTAACTGCCTATTTTGGTTAAAAAATAAATAAATAAATAAAAGTCTTTATTGAGATTTACTGAAATCCCTTTACTGATGACTGGAGATAATTATTCTTACTGCGTTGTGGAATGTGAATGTGAATATGATATAATAACTGTAAATATGAATATATTTTCCTTTACTTTCACCTCTACCACAGGGTTCTCTCTATTCATGTCTACTGTGGTTCCCTCTAGCAGAAACACCAGCTTCTTGGGTGGGATTATGAAGCATCTGCTGACTCTTTAATGATTTAAAAATTACTACTTTATGAACCAAAATAAAATAGTAATCAGAGAACACAAAAGTGAGTACATCCCTTACATTTTTGTAAATATTTGATTATATCTTTTCATGTGACAATACTGAAGAAATGACACTTTGCTACAATGTAAAGTAGTGGTTGTACAGCTTGTATAACAGTGTAAATTTGCTGTCCCCTCAAAATAACACATCACCCATTAATGTCTAAACCACTTGCAACAAAAGTGAGTACACCTCTAATTGAAAATTTCCAAATTGGGACCAATTAGCCAATTTCCCTCCCCGGTGTCATGTGACTCGTTAGTGTTACAAGGTCTCAGCTGTGAATGGGGAGCAGGTGCGTTAAATTTGGTGTTATCGCTCTCACACTCCCTCGTACTGGTCACTGGTTCAACAAGTTCCATGAAGTTCAACATGGCACTTCATGGCAAAGGACTCTCTGAGGATCTGAAAAAATGAATTGTTGCTCAACATAAAGATGGCCTGGGCTATAAGAAGCCCTATGGCCTGGGCTAAGACCCTGAAACTGAGCTGCAGGAATTTGACCAAGACCATCAATTCAACAGCACAGGTTCCACTCAGAACAGGTCTCGCCATGGTCGACCACTGAAGTTGAGTGCACGTGCTCAGCATCATATCCAGAGGTTGTCTTTGGGAAACAGACGTGAGTGCTGCCAGCATTGCTGCAGAGGATGAAGGGGTGGGGGGTCAGCCTGTCAGTGCTCAGACCAAACGCCGCACACTGCATCAAATTGGTCCGCTCATTCATTGGTGAGCTCATTCCTAACATCAGCATACAAACATGCTCACAGTGACAAAGCTAACATGCTGATATGTAGATATAATATACCAGGTTCACCATCCCATTTAGCTTGTTAGCATACTATCATTTGCTAAATACAGCTGAGGCCGATGGCAATGTCATTAGTTCTGCAGGTATTTGGTCATTAGCAAAGTACTGGACAAAGTACATTTGACCTTGATGGAGGCACTAGAGGAAAAGTCAGGATAACCAACATGATTACAATTCATCCTGATGGGAAAATTAATATCTGTACTAAATTCCATGGCAATCCATCCAATGGTTGTCACACAATTTTTCACCAAAAACTATAAATGTCATTCTCAAGGAGGCAGAGGAAGGGAGGTCAGGAGGTCGCCAAAATCAGTATGGCTTGAGGAATGTGAATGTCAAGGGTTCGGTTAGGTGCAAACTTTCAACCAAAACCTGCTCCTAACCACTTATGTTGTTAAAAATACAGTTGCATTACTATGATAGTAAAGCATAAACAAATCATTGAAGTTTTGGTTTTAATTCTGTCAGACATTTGAAGTCAATGACATTTTAACAAGTACACCGTACATTAACAAGAAAAATTACCTTTAGTAGAACCTAGAGGTTGTAGTGTTTGCATTGTTCCTTGTACATTCATTTTTTTTTTTACTTTATCAACACCCGGTGAACAAGTGTCAGATTTCACACACATTAACACACAAATATTCCATGCACTCATATTCAACCTTCTCTATCCCTATTTGTCTGCCCATTTTTTACCCACTTAGTTTTTGTTTCCCACACAAACAGCATATGTCTTTTTGACACACACACACTCACACACACACACACACACACACACACACACACTCACTCACTCACTCACTCACTCACTCTATCTCTCTCTCTCTCTCTCACACTCACACTCACACTCACACACACACATATATAACACTTTCCCTCTAGTTAATCAGTCACTGTGCAGAGCCAACCGCTGTTTTTGGTCAGGTCACACCTGACTGCAGCAGAGGACCTCTTGTAAGGTACAGTGTTGTACTGTTTCTGGCTAAATTAATTGACCGGAGCAGGTTGCAGTCTAACTAGCAGAATAAAATAGTTAAATTTTTTCTATTTTTAAATGATTTTAAAAATGTTAATATAGTAAGTAAGAATTTTCTTCTTAAGTAACATCATGTTGATATTATTACATAGTAATTACAATATCAGAACATATCTAATCATGTGTTTCCTGGAAAAAAAAACAACCTCTATTTACAATTGTTTTACTATTTTACTCTAAAAACTAATTTGGTACTAATTATGAAGAAGATTTTCTTGAAATTAAAGCTCCATTTAAACCCAAGTAAGTATCAGTTCATTATTCTTTTATTAGTCCTATATGTTGAATTGTGTGCTTGCTTGTAAAGAATTGTAAGAATTTTTGCATGACCTGACCTACACGTAAAAGGAATCAGTAAATCCACAGTGTCCCATGTGATCTGTCTTTTCTTTTCCAGAAAACTTTGAAGAAATTATTACAAAATTATTCAGAAATTACAGATCTATAAAATGACCTAAATCAGTATAAAAGTGGTCCCAGTCATACAAATTAAATAAGTAATAAATGGAAAACAAACAAATGGAAAGGTTACAGATAAATAATAGGTAACACATTTTGAGATGTATACTAGTCAGGTGATTTGCCTGATTTCAGGAACTTTCAGTTGAAAAACATCTTGAGCTTTATTTTTACATTCTTAATTCTACAAAATATGAATCTCAGAAATCAATTCCCGAATATATCAATCTCTAATTATCTTCACAGATCCTACTGTCTGCTTCTGTCTCACCTCATTCAGCTATGTCAGGTCCAAAGTTCACAGTATCACTCCTCTCGAGTTCATCTAGTCCATTGGTTCAAGCAGCCATAATCTGGTAATCGGAGGTAAATAACCTGACATAAGCTACAGAGTAAAAGGAGATTTAAAATTTGGATGATTCAAAATTGGCTGAACATGTATATAGTGTTATATGATCTGTAAAGATCTTAAAAAATGTCTTGGATGTACACAGAGCCTGCTGTATGTGACAAATAGGAAAAACTTAGTGGTATACAGGATCCTACAGTGAGCTTTTCAAATTGTGTCACGTGAGGGACAGAAAGACCTGCTGTTTTAACTGTAAGGCAAGAAAAATGGATTCAAGTCATGAATAGAAAGTCAGACATGACAGCAGATTCTCAGGCCAGCTGATGTTAGGAGCTGACTGCTCCTGTAAATGAAAATCACACCGTCCTGATCAGTTTGGCTCTCACCTCCATGTCATCCTCACTCTGTCACATTGTGTCGTGTGAATCTTGCAGCACCACAAACATAATCTGACTCACCAAAGAACTGCAATGTCAGTTTCTGCAGTCAAATATACTGCCTTATAAGAACTCTAATACTGTTCCTAGTTGTAACCATTTGAGGGGAAGCTGTTAAGTGAGAGTCATAGTTTTACACAGTCTGCATTCCACCTTTCGCCATGTTTTAAATTTAAATGTTCTACACTTCATTTGATTTCATGTAAATGTTTAGGCACCAGAGATGTAAGCTGAGGTTGTTGCCTTCATCATTCACGATTCACCATTTTTAAACCTTTATTATTCTTATCACTACCCATGTTTGGTAATGTACCTGAGTATGAACATGACGGAACAATCAGAGCAATTACAGTTTTTTATGGTTAGGCTGCCTTCCTGTTTTTTGCCAGATGTCTGCGGAAATCATAATCACAAATTTTATTATCATGATCATGCACCTCGTATGCACCTGCAACTTCAGTTTCACTGATGCTTTATAGAACACCTACAACACGTTTAATCAAAAAAAATGGAAAGAATTCAGATGTGAAATGCTGTTCTGTCTGTAGTAACAATCATCCTGTTATATTTGTACTATAACTCTCCTGAAACAAATTTGATATGAGGCAGCTACCTGCTAAAACTACACTATTTGTAATATTTACTTTGTTGAGGGAAGTCATTTCATTTTGATCAATGACACCCCCCTTATACTAATGAGCCTGAAGGAAAAGTTACATTTGGGGGATTTATTGAGTGTCCGTTTTTTTGTCAAAGAGGAATTAGGAAATAAGCAGTGCTGGAAGAAGTATTCAGATCCTTTACTTAAAGTAAAGTAGCAATACCTCAATGTAAAACTACTCAATTACAAGTAAAAGTTACTTGTTACTGTTATATTGGCATATTTGGTGACTGATATTAGGTTATTATTGTTGATGCAGTAATAGCATTTTTCTGTTGTATATGTCAAGGTGGAGCAAGTTTACTTGCTAAAAAGTGACATAAAATGGAAATACTGAAGTAAAGAACAAGTTATTCAAATTTGTACTTCATTTAAGTATGTAATTAAATTTAATCAGCAGTAGAGGGTATGTACCAGAAGAACACCCACTTTACCTCTTTTAACTTAACTTTAATGACCACACAAGCAGAGTGAGTAGAAGTTGCTTTTGGTACAGCATGGTCATAAGGCTCAGTTCACAGTATCTGCAACTGGGAATAACTGACTTCATCAACCTCCATGTTCTGTACAGGACATACTTCTAAAAGTCAGAGACAAGGTCAACATTAAAAACCAAAGCAGGTAAACAGTACCCTTGTCTCCATTGTTTCTCTCAGCAGCCAGGGCAGTAAGTCAGTAACCAATGGCCTCACTGTGTTGGCCTGAATCCCTCCTTTCCTTTTTCCCATCAGTGGAAAAGCACCACACGAGTGGAGAAGAGGAAAGAGAGGAAAGCAGAGGTGGGGTTCTCTGAGTGTAAAAGACCTCTCTGTCCGGACTTTGGCCTGCAGCCAGGCAGCAGAGACGTGTCAGCCCAGGTACAGCAGGGAAGCGTGCTTCGTGAACTCTACTCTAAGTTGTAAATCATCGAAAATACAGCCTCTTCTGAGCTTCATACAAGGACTTTAAGCTGAGTTTTGAAGATAGAAGTTGGACTTTGACTCAAG